TTCCGCAAATAGGTTAACCAAAGGCTTCTGCGCTATCAGCCATTCAAGAATCTATCGCAACCCATTTAGTTGAACTCGAACTGAGGCTAATGTAGCCCAACTGCTGGGCTGAATTTGCTACCCATAGACCAGAGGCATTCTGCCCTTCCCTTGTCAAACACAGCGTCAACATGTTTGGCCGGCGCCCAGAGGGGTGTGCATCTAATGAATATTTCCTTACCTGCGTAAATACGCATATGGGGATTCGCTTAAAGAGTCCTCAGTGGCCGCAAGGACCCTACCTCCCCTGCGTATAAAAAATACGCGTCGTCTAACGGCCCGCGTCTTGCTGGCTGTCCCACCTGGCTGAAGTGACATACCCAGGCCAGGCGATGCTGAGGCGGCTATTCAAAGGTCAAGCATCCACCTACAGGGAAGCATTTTATGAGCAGATATAATTTCCTTAGTTCTAAATCGCTTCAGCACTCGTGCTAACCGTTATGGACGACTGTAACGTACATAGACATGAGTCTGCGCTCTTTCCCATGATTGAGACGCCGGACAGTGACAACCTCGCTCGAGTTAATGAACGGTATGAGTTTTTCTTGCGCTCAAAGTATGGCGCGACTATCGTAAACACCTGGACTTGCCCTCCCTAAAATCAGGTTTGGGCTTGTCAATATCTGTTTGTGTGGATTAGTGAGGGGCGGGCATTAAGCCTCAAGTCGTATTGTCGACGGGGCGAAGTTGTGCGTGGAGGCGTTACAGCAATAATATCCCATGCTGGCCCCAATTATCGTTCACCTCCAAATTTAGTATAAGATGTGACTTTCATGCTCAGTCGTCTTCTGGTAGTGCCGTTTAATGAGATGCGTTGCGGCGCCAGCAAAGGCGAGAACCTGCATATGCTGAAGGTCCACTGCGATATTTATTGACACGGACGCTCAGACTCAAAAGCTTGTTTCTTCGACCAAGACGTACTTGTTCCATGGCAGATGGCAGAATTGATGCGAAGGCCAGAAAGATATGCATTTACTCTCGTCTCATGGCTACTTCTTTCTGACTTGATGCGGGGTCTCGTAGACCTTCGACCGTTCACTTGGCCGTACCTTCCTATGTATGGGATTCCTGTGCTACAAGAAACCCCGAAAACACCGCCCACGGCCGGAAAACAATCGTGTGATAAAGAAAACATGCCGACTATTGGACTATAACCCTATTGCACTTTCGTACTCGCTGAATAACGAGATCTTTGGTGATAACTGGCAGATGGACAGATGGGCAAATGAGAAATGAGCTGAGACGCGTTGGCTCGACATTGACGATTTCGGATCAAAAAAATGCTGGCTCGAAAGAAATATCGTGCTTCATACGGACTGGCCATAGTCAGGCAGTGGCTAAGCCCGATCTATACGCAAAGCCGACAGTCGATTAAGTAATCGGAAATTGGATATGGCCTAGTCATACGAAGCTACCCGAGGTCACATAGCGACGGAGCAAGGGTCCAACGGTGGGGCCAACAGGGCTGAAGCATGAAACTAGTCCTTGTCCGGTTTGTTATCGTGCTGTTGTTGTCAGAGAAGGATAATAAGTCAAGTGAGCAAGTTGGGAATTAACCTTGGACATTACGAAACAAAAGTGTGTACAGTGATCCATTTATTCTGCATAGTGTTACAAATATAAGAGACCTAAAATAAGGATTAATTGTCAGTTTACCTAACGTAGTTTACAAGCGAGTCGCGTACTTTTCCCTAAAACTCTCCCTTAACTTTCATAACGTATCTCTCTACGACGAATTATAGTATCTAATTTAAAAAAATGTTAAGTTAAACTTAGCTATCTAAGCTATATAAAAAGGACTAAAACTAAGTTAGCGTAAGGCTATAACTATCTATAACGTACCGGAATTAATATTACGCGATAGAATAAGTAGCCGACCTATATAACGCGATATTGGCGCTAATTCGATAAAAATAACCGAATCGGAAGAAGAAGCTATTCTTAAGTATATTTTAGATATAGATTCGAAAGGATTTTCGCTAATAATTAAGGATATAGAAGATATAACTAATCTCACAAAACCTGGCTAGCATAGTAGCTCGCCCTATTGCTAGATGAGTGAAAACGAATACACTTCGCAGTGTAGGAGGCAACAATAAATTAAGGAAAGGTTCAGGGTGGCGGTAACAATTTGCTGATTTGCGTTTCCTTGAGATGCTCAAGTGGGGGCGGAAGACTGCAGAGCATCTGCCCCGCGGGCGCATGACGCGGTTGATCGAGTCGCCATCCGCATTCGATTGTTCCTGGGCGTCTCACTACTGATTAAAGCATTGCATTGTGATTCATCAAACTCCCCCAATCAGGGGTCTACGATGTGCGGGAGACGCGGTCATGGACCTTTTAATGTATTTCGCATCCCTGGCGTGGACACTGGCGTGGACCAGTAGTGCAGGTACCGACAGGAGGTGAGATGCAAATGTAAGATCGACTTGGAGAAGCAACGGGAATCAAGGTATAGTGCGGGTCGGACTCGCAGCTTGACTAGGACACGCTACTAACTTTAGATAACGCACGCCTCCCTAGGGATTATAGTTGTTAGTTCGGTATATACTAAATAATTATACTAAATTAGGACAAGTCTATATAGATCTCCTTAAACCTACTTTCTAGTATATTTTAGTATATTCTAATACGTAGTACTAACGTATCCCACTGTCTAGTTGAATACTCCTTAAGGCCTCGTATAATAAGCTAGAAGTTAATTTAACTATAATATTAAAAATCAATCAAAAATACTCGTAACTATATTCTTTAGATACTTCTTTACTATTCTAAAAAGTACGCGTATTATAACCGGGCTCTCCGTACGCCCTATAGCGTCGCTAGCGCGTCTTAGGCCTCCTCGTACGATTATAGATCTAGCGCGATTTATCTTATAACTATCCGTTAACCTACTTATAAGACTATAAATCTTCTCTAGCTTGTATACGAAGTAGTCCTTTATCCTATAAAAGGTTTTATTCGTACGACGTTACTAGCTAAATATATTATTCACTTTGCAAAGTATAGCGTTCGTACCCTCTAAAAAAGTAAGCCGGTGTATAATCTGCGTTGTATCCTTCGTAAAATAGTTAAGACTAGTAAGTATAATTATTAGAGAGCTATTTTAATATCGTATAATTCGGGTTTTCACGTATTCGGTCTAGGATTATGCCTTAATTAGGTTATTCAGGGTCTTTGATTCCTAGATAGTTATAGATATCCTCTTAAATATACTAGTTTGTTATATTACGTACGAGAGTAAACTACGCGTGATACGCGTTAGGAATCGTAGAAAACTCTCGAGTAGTCTATTCTTCGATTAAGGCGCTTCTAGAGGTCTAGTTATCGTCGTACGAAGATCGAAGCCTAATTAACGCTAATGCGTCCCCCGTCGCGTTAGTATAGTAGTCGATTCACTTTATCTTTAACACGATTAACTGAGGAGGTAATAACTATAAATTTAGGTCGATTATATATCGTACGATCGTATCGTCTTCGGAATAAGTGAGTTTTTACTTTAATAATCGTATATGCTATCGTAAAATACTGCCGAGATAATAGTAATGTAAGGTTATATAGGGGATATTACAGATGCGTACTACGGATTATACGCTTAGTTTAGGTTATGTTAAGGCGCTTAAAGTGCTAATTAAATATCGCTTTCTTCCTAATAACGTACTATAGTAAAAGGTGGAAAATAAGGCATAAACCTAGGTTATATAGAAATACGGGAAAGTGTTTAATTAGACCGTAGGGTACGTTATATTTAATTTAGTTTTCTATACGCATCTAGTCTAGACAACTAGACGCCTATTACTTAAACAGCCCACAGTAAAACTGAGCTATTAACACAAAACTAGCTACTATTTTAGCCTTAAAAGCACGATCAGTTTTTACACTAAGGTACTTAGTACTACGTATCGGTATTGTTAGATATATAGATACTACTTTCCGTACAAGTTACTAGAAAAGCAATCTCTACCTAAAAAGGGTTAAGTGCATTGGCTAGGACTCTGGTAAGTCACTGCATTAACAAATATAATCCCTGGGGAGGTGTAGGCCTATGGATCAGGCTCGCTACCGGTCAAAACGGAGAAACGAGGTTGTTGCTGTGGCAGAATGCACAAGGCATCATGTACTTGTATGCACATGCTTGACAAGGTTCCAGAGAGTCCCGTTCCCAACGAGGGAAACGTGACAAGTCATTTGGTCACAGACGATAGGCCGGAGTAGGCCAATAGGTCGGTTTGAAAAGCACGGAGGCACGAAACTCCTTTCGGTATCTGTACCCGGCTAGCCCCACCACCGATCATTATGGCTTGCCGAGCACCCACCCCATATGCACCATCTAGATTGATCTTTGCAAATCTGATGATCTGATAACCCTTGATAAGATAACTGGGCTGCGGGTACTATGCCCAACACAGCGCACTGGCCCGGCCGCGACCGGCTCTGGATCCTCTGGAGGCCAACTTCCACAACATCACCACCAACCACGGCTGCGCTTCAGCTCCACTGCGACGGCTTGATGAAGCGACGAGACTGGGGTCTGGCCACCCTGCAAAGTCGCAGCCCACTGAAAATTCTTGCAAGTTATTTCCCACTGGGCGCCACTGGGAACCCAACCAGTTGTCACCCACGACTGGAGACTGGTTGGATGACCGGCTGCCATTGCCCGCATGCGGTTAGGACGCATGGAAACTCGTGGAGGTGTGCTTTCTCACGGCACGCTTTCCTCGGTTTCCTGAGTTCGCGTAGGTTGACAGGGTTCAAGTCGTCCTCGGAGTGGATTCGGTTCGCCGCGTCGGGTCCAGAGTTATTTGAGGGTGATTAAATACTTAAACCATGGCTCCAAGCCGTCATGTTCCCTCGCCTTGCTCCCTTGCTTCCTCGGACACGGACAGCGCCATCTTGCCACTTTGTTGTTGCTTCACCATCCTGCTTCTTGTCGTCGTCCAACCGCAAGCCGTCAACCCAACATGAAGTTCCGCGGAGGAATTCTCGGGCTCAAAGCCAACAAGAACCAAGCCCCCGAGATCGCCGAAGACGACACGGGCCACAGCACCGGCAACGATGCTGTTGACACTGAGACGGGCGCCAAGTCAGGTGTCCCGTCTACCGACGCCAACTCCAACCAGGAAAAGGAAAAGGAGCTGCAGTATGGTGTCCAGGCCGCCGAGGCCACCCTCAAGGTCTGGTCCAAGAACCACTTGATTGCCGCTTACATATTGTGAGTCCGAAAGTACCCCAGGGAACGGGGACACAGAAGGAAGGAACATGGCAAAGAAGCACAACTAACAATGCAATTAATAGGATTTGGTTCATCAGCTTCGCCCAGTCCTTCTCTTCCGGTATGGCAGGCACCTTGACTCCCTATGTCACTAGCAACTTCTCCGCCCACTCCCTGACGGCCACCACTGGCATCCTTGCCAGCATAATGTCGGGTCTCATCAAGTTGCCCTACGCCAAGTCCCTTGACATTTTCGGCCGACCCCAGGGCTTCGTCTTCTGTTCTCTGTGCATGACCTTAGGCCTCGTCATGATGGCCGGCTGCAACAGTGTCGAGACCTATTGCGCCGCCCAGGTCTTCTACCAGATCGGCTACACTTGCATTGACTTCACTATCACCATCTTCATTGCCGACACATCCCAGCTGAAGAACCGAGCCTGGTGGATTGCCTACGCATCCTCCCCTTACCTAATCACCACATGGGTCTACGGGCCTGCCTGCGAACGCCTCCTCGCCACCGCCGGCTTCCGCTGGGGCTTTGGTATCTGGGCCATTATCTTCCCTATCATTTGCTTGCCCCTGGCTATCCTTTTCTACTACAACCAGAGGAAGGCCGAGAAGCAAGGTCTGATCCACGTCACCCCCCACGGTCGCGGCCCCGTCGAGAATCTCCTCTACTACTGTCGCGAGTTCGACGTCATCGGCCTGCTTTTGATCATGACCGGCTTGGCCCTCTTCCTGCTCTCCTTCAGCCTGTTCTCTAACCAGCCTTTGCAATGGCGTTCCCCTCTCGTCATTTGCTTCCTCATCTTTGGCGGGCTCCTCGTCATCACCTTTGTCGTCTGGGAGAAGTACTTCGCCCCTATCACCTTCCTTCCCTGGCCTCTGCTGAAGAACCGCACCGTCTTCTTCACCTTCACCATGGTAGCCAGTCTGTACTGCTCGTGGTACTTGTGGGACACCTACTTCTACTCCTTCCTGATCGTCGTGTTCAACGAGAGCGTCACCAACGCAACCTACATCGGCAACATCTATACGATCGGTTCTGTCTTCTGGGCTCTCGTCATGGGCGTCATCATTCGCTATAACGGCCGTCTGAAGTGGCCCGCCGTCTACTTCGGTGTGCCCATGACTATTCTCGGTGTCGGCCTCATGATCCACTTCCGTCAGCCCGACGTCAACATCGGCTTCATTGTCATGTGCCATATCTTCATCGCCTTCGGTGGTGGCACCCTCGTTATCTGCGAACAAATGACCGTCATGGCTGTCTCGGCGCACCAGAACATTCCCGCCATTCTCGCTATCGAAGGCCTTGTGGCCAGAATCGGCGGCGCCGTTGGATACGCCATGGCCGCCGGCATGTGGACCGGAATTTTCCCCAAGAAGCTAGCGAAGTACTTGCCCGCCGATGCTCAGGCCGATTTGGTCTCCATCTATGGGGACCTTACTGTCCAATCCTCTTACCCCATCGGCTCTCCCACCCGCGACGCCATCAACCGGTCGTATGGTGAGACGCAACGATACATGCTCATCACTTCCGTCTGCCTGTACTCAATTACGTGGGGATCCACCTTCATGTGGGAGAACATCAACGTCAAGAAGGTGAAGCCATACGATGGATTGATGTTTTAAAACACCAACGACTCGAAATTGTTCGATTGTGGAAAAAATTCATCTTGGGCATTGCTCATTGAACACGACAAGCAAGAGAGTTTGTCGTGAATTGAGAAATCGGTCTATGTTTGTTTAAGTATGAGTTGATTTGAGAAGAAGACACCATTTCTTATACCCGGGCTGTTCGTAAAAAAGGGAGAGGTAATGATAATGTATTGATAGAAATGGATGCTTTCAAGATTGACGTTTTTGAACTTGAAGTCCGTTGAGTATAACGGCGAAGAATTCTCCACAACAGATAGCCTATCCACCTCATTATTCACGAAGACGCTCCGAGACCGTAATATTGTGTGAGCCGAGTGGCGACTTGGAGCTGACTCGTCTTTTTCAGTGAGCTTAAGGCAAAGCGAAAATATTATTATTATTAAATACGCCGTAGGCTCGAAGCCCCCGGTACCTCTACTAGTACTCCCGTATGTCAAACCGTGCCCTAATGGCTGGACTAAATACATACGCTGCGTCGTCGGTTCGCCCTATTGGCGACTGCGTTGCGTTCACTACCATACTACGTTGGTTCTCAACCTACCAACAAAGTCCCCCCTGAGAAGATCGATGCTATCTGGGCCTTGAAGCTGTCCGACCCGTCCCTAGCAGCCACCTTACAATAGTCCCACTAACTACTGGCTCTCCTGTTGCTGTTGCGAGGTCTCTGCGAGAGTATAGTGGCCGTGGTGCGATAGCGGCCCGTAATCGTTCCCTCGGTCCTTCCAACAGCCCGCAAAAGAGGATTACGTGCTCTGTCGTCTCAGGGGCGTCGCCACAGCGGCATAGCGGCGAGTACACGCCAAAAGCCCCTGTCTTGAATAAGAAGGCTGCTAGTCCTATTTTTTCCGTCCTGATCTGGCACTAAGATAGAGGTCTAGTGGCGGGATTGCTGCTTCTGCTTCCAGGTGGCGAACCGGCGTCGCTTTGTGGGCGCCACAGACTACCCGGAGGCACTCGTTCTGTATCCCCATCAGGCTCTTAGCTGGCCCTGCCGGTTCCTCACTTATAGTATGCCACGCAGTCGCCCCGAAGGCGATCACGCTACGGATAACCACCGTATATAACAGCCTCGCCCGTATAAGATCGCAGCCCCACGACATATTGACTAGCTTTGTCAGGGCTAGCTTTTGAGTTGCCATTTTTGTTTTAACACGCTCAACATGGGCGTGCCACGTCAGTTTGCGGTCGAACCAGACTCCTAGGAACCTCGCTGAGACTACCGGCGACACTGTGGCGTCCCCAAGGCGAATACTTTGCGGCAAGGGCTCTCGGGCCCTAGTAAAGTGCATTAGCTCACTCTTGTCAGGGGCGAACTCCATCCCGTGCCTCACTGCCCACCGCTGACACGTAGCCCATGCGCCCTCCAATCGGCGGCAGGTCGTGTCTGGATCGGTGCCGACGCTTAGCAGGTTCGTGTCGTCCGCGAACCCGACTACCAAAAGTAGTGGGTGCTGCTCCGCTAGCTCCTCGTACAGCGTTGAAATGTATAATATAAACAGTATCGGGGATAGCGGTGACCCCTGGGGGACGCCAGCTCGTAGGGGGATTGGCTCTGACTCCTTGCCGTCGAACCGGAGGCGTACCGTCCTATCCTCCACGAAGCTGCGTACCCACTCCTGAACCCACTCCGGGTAGCCTTTCCGGGCTAATATGGAAATCAGCCGTCTGTAATTGACCGTATCGAATGCCCCCTTGATGTCCAGCTGTAGCAGCGAGGCGATGCCCCCGCGTCTCCACGCCGTATAGACCACGTCCTCAACTATACGTATTGCCAGTTCGGTGGACCTCCCAGCGCGGTTACCCATTTGGCCGTTTGGTAGTAGGCCAGCCGCCTCAGCTACTTTGGTGATACGCTGGCTCATCGCCGTCTCTATTACCTTCCCTACCGTGCTAAGCAGGGCAATGGGGCGCCAGCCGCCAGGGGTCTGCTTCTGAGCTGTCGTTTTATTAGGCTTAGGGATAACAACCACCCTCGCTGAGCGGAAGCGCTCCGGGTAGTACCCCAGCCTAAAGCTAGCTGTTGCCAGATCCGCTAGGATCTCCCATAGGGGTTCAGCGCAGGCCTTTAGCAGGCCAGTGGGGATCAGGTCGTCGCCGGGAGCCTTCCAAGCAGCCGTTCCTTTGATGATAGACTCGATATCCATTGTGTTCACCTCCCTAGGGACGTTCAGCTCTGGTCTTGTCTGTAATAGGCCGCGATCGAGGTCCGATAGATCTATACACGGGTCTGGGAAGAACCTCTCAGCTAGTAATTTTGCCTTCTCGTCATGTGTACGTGCCGTAAGCGTGTCGCCGGCGTCCCTCCGGAGATCTGGCAACCCGTGGGCCTCAGGGGGGGCCCAGCTCCGTAGCCTAGCCCACATCTGCAGTGCCCATAGGCTTTTGTGATCCTTCGCCGTCTCCTCGAGCTTCTTGTGCCAGCTACGCGTCTGCGCTTCGCTGATTTTGAGCCGTTGTTTTTGGCCGGCTCTTGTATATTCGTCCCAGTTGGTCTGCGACCTTGCCTGGAGGTAGTCCCGCCGTCGTCTCTTCGTCTCAGCGCAAGCCTTGCTAACCTGCGGGCACCACCACGGGACCCCAGCGCCTCGGCCAACGGTGCGTCTCGGGACCGCCACGTCGGCAATCTCTTGGAGGTTCCGGATAACCAAGTCAACAGCCTGGTCCAACTCCGTTATCGTCTCAACCGGCAAATAATTCATAAATCTCTGGCTTGATTCGGCTACGATGAGACACTTATCCGCCATCGCCCAGTTCCACCATTCGACACTGCGGCGGCCCTCCTTGACTGCTTCCCCGTTGGATATTACCCTAATCGCTTGCGCTCTGTGGTCTGAGCCCTCTAGGCCCGGGTCCCCATCGTAATCAATCCTAGCCCCTTTCGTCACCCAGGCTAGGTCGATAGTTGAGTCTCGTTGTTTGTGCCTTTGCCGTGTGATTTCCCCGAACGGCGTAACGAGCTCTAATCGCCAGCGTCGCGTAAACTCCACTACGTTGTCGCTGCCCCGTGACGACCGTCCGTGGACGTCCCACAGCGGGTGATGTGTATTGAAGTCCCCCACGAGGAATTGTGTCCCCTCCGGCGCCCCATTAGGGAGGTCTTGGAGCGGGCTGACCCAGCGGCTCCCGGTCTGGTTTGGTGAATAGATAGACCAGATCGTAAGGGCGTCCGGGCCTGCCCCGAACGTAATATTGCTCCAGTCCATCCCGGTACGGGGTCGCAACGTAGCCACGTCGTATCGTTTATGGACATATAGCGCAGCTCTGCCGCTGCTGTACACTACTTCGTACCTGGACGACTTCAGGCAATAAATCGCCTTCGTCCGCCGGTTGATCCATGGCTCTTGAGCCGCTATTATATCATAGTCACCCCCCTTATCCAGTGCTAGCGTTGCGTTCGCCTTTGAATCTGCGATATTCCAGTAGAGAATAGAGACTACCATTAAGCTGTCGATGGTATATCTTCGTTCGTACGTCCCTTAGTGAGGAAGCTGCGCATTGCTGACGCAGACCGTTCGGTTCGCTCCTGCTCCACTCGCGATCCGCCTAGGGGGCGGCCCCGGGGTCGTACAACTGTAAACCCGTCGCTGGTCAATGAGATAGGTGGTGTGAGCCTGCCCTCACTAGATAACCCGTCCGAGTAGCCGCGGACCTCAAATTGTCGGGGGCGGTGAGCGTACGCCTCGCGTACGCGTAGCCGCTGCTGTTCTGCCGTAGGGCAGTCCCTGTCCCACGCCTTGTGCTTCCCTTTGCAGTTCACACAACGTTTTTTGCCGCTAGGTGCCTTCTCGTGGCAGTCTTTTTCACCCCCTAGGTGTGCCGTTGCAGCGCAGACGCCGCAACGCGCCGTATTCGTAGCACTGGTAGCACTGCCGAACCCGAAGATTGCCGTCGTACGGCTCGCAATCGAATATCTGGGCCTCCCAAATAAGCCCTTCGGAGCATAGTTCCATCGCCGCCTCCAAGCTATCCACGTGTAGTATCAGGGCCGCATACGGTGCTTGCGGCGCCCGGGGGAGGTTCCTTTTGGCCTTAGAGAGGTGCTTTGTATTGTCCCGCTTCAGGTCTTTAAGTAGCTGGCTCTCGTCGTGGACCTCTCGCAGCCGTTTCGCAGGCAGCCCCTTCGCGATCACTGCAACTTCTCTGCGGTTGAGAAGTGCCTTATCGCCGAAGGCACTACGCACCCACCGGCTGTCCGTGGTCGCCGCTGAGGCCGACTGCTTAAACGTCACTACGGTATCGCCACTGCGCAGCCTGCGGGCCGCCACTGCATCGGTGCTACCGCGTGCATTGTTCACCGCTTTTACGACCTCAGCCGCCGATCTGTTCTTCATATTAGGGTCCTCTGTCCCCCGGATCACTACCTCTCTCTCCCTTCGCTGGGGCACTACCACCCGCTGCTGCCACACTGGGGCTTCACCGGGTCCCCGTCCCTGGGCCGATCCTGAGGCGATTGAGGCCCAGGATCGAGTTGTAGGCAAGGCCACGTTCTTCACCGTATCCTGCATGGTCTTCTCAACCATCGTCTGGATCGCCGCAGGAATTTCGGCAAGGGCCAGAGTCACTGCCAGTACGTCGGCATGTGTGGCGGGTCTGTCGTCCCCCTCCTCCAGCGTCCTGCCGGCCAGTTTCAACCCCAGCCAACGCTCCATCAAACCCCCCATGACCTCAATCTTCTCATGTGGGACCAAGTCGGCAATCTCTTGTTCCACATTTGCTCGTTCCCTTTCGATATCTATCCTCTTTGCGTTCTTCCTGCTGATGCGCTCCACGTTCGGTACGTGGGCACTTTCGTTGGCCTGGGGGTGGTGAAAACTCTGTTCGAGTCCCGCCCGTCCCCCGTCAATCACCATCGGCGCCGCCATTGCTTTGTGTTCTTGCTTCGCGTGCGATGCGAGGTCACTGTCCGACGTAAACGGTCGTTAGGAATCGAATGCCGCAATCGGTTTGATGATTTGACGCTGTTCGAAGAAGTTATCGATGAAAGTCAGAAACCTCTTACTGGTATGGCAGCGAAAATATCACAACTCGGCGGAGCACATCGCGGTTATTGAGTCTGACCAAAGAACCGAGCAGGGAAAGTTTCAGAGGTGATATTGAAGGGGCATGTTATTATCGTGTATCTAGCGACAGTTATCGGCGATTATGCTCTAATCTAAACAATACATACGTGGTACGTGACATCATTTCATGATGCCCCTGTCTACCATTTACCCGGATATGCCTCATTAACAAGCTGCAGTGTCTCCTCGTCTACGCTGTTCGTGACAACTGCAGAGGCGCCAAATCGCCCTACTCGATCGGCCGGCTTCCTCGACTCGTCGACCAACTTCCTGGCGCGCTACCTTCGCTCTTCTTCCTATATTAAGGGAAACTAAGGCCCAAGCCGTTTCTCGGCCTCTTTGGCCTCTTTGGCCTTCCGTTCTTTCTCCTGATCGATTCTGCGCATCGCCTCCTCGGTCAGCTCCTGTCGGAACATGCACTGAAGCACGTCCTTTTTTCGCGTGCGGCGGTCCCCGATAGTTATAAGGATACCGGCTGTGGTATTCACGGCGATGGAACAGCTTAGAATGACGGCCGTTAGGGCAGGAGGGCGAACGTGGTAGTCTATGCACCAGGTGCAGAGACCCAAAGCAAGCTGGAAGCACGAGTGACAGTCGAGTAGCACGACGATGGCGACGACGAGACGCAAAGGGAAGGCAAAATGAGTGTCTGTCTCGTGTGGTTTATAGAATGTGTGCGATTTTGAGAAGCAGGCCTGATGGTGCTCCAGCTTGGCTTGCTGCTTGGGATTCAGAACTGACAATTCTTGCTTGGCGTGCAGGGAGCGGGCGGCTTCCAGGTCGGCAGGCTCAGACGGCAGGTCGTTCTTGTTCTTGAGATCGGGCAGGGCCTCTCTGTTGCGGAGCTTCCAGGTGAGGTGATGGTAACGGGCGATGTAGATCATGTGATATGTGTCGACTATTCGCCAGGGGATAAGACCATCACCCACAATGGCGAACAGGGCGACCAGAACATTGTCGATAACATTGATGACGTAGAACTGCTTAGTCCCAACGTAGACCCAGCCGATGAGGAACAGAACCCAGGCCAGGCCGAAAAGGGTGATGAGAACAGCGTAGAGGGTGACGAAGAAGCCGAGGGGCCGTTTGACGTACTGTCCAAAGGCTTTCATCTTGCGCCTGAACTTGGAACAACGCGAATGTAACATGTGGCGAACGTGGTCGTCGAGCTGGGCTACTTCCTCATCGCTCCAGCCCTGCAGCGAAACATCGTGTGGGCGAACAGCGTAGAAGCGGTCCGTCACCGTGCTGGGAATACGGTCCACCGCCGGACGCTGTGGTGCAGATGAAGGTGAGGAGAAGTAGTCCGTCCATTCAACCGTGTAATTCTCGTCCGCCCGCAGGCTCTCCTCCCGGGTCGCTGTGGGAAGTGCCGACGAGGGGAATGCCCCAGGTACCGCCGGCGTTCGACTGATAGTGTATGTTGGCCGCCTGTTGGCCCATTTCCCCATTGACGGTACGAAGAGCGAGTTCTGGACGTTGGTGATGGATGATAGCGTCGATACTTCGGGGTCTAATAAGGTAAGAGGTTGGTCTTAGTGTTTCTCGACGAGCCAGCCCCCAAGATGGCGCTCACCAAGAACATCGAGTATGTCAATAATATCCGAGTCGTATTCCTCCTGCCGACTATCGGAACGTCTGGACATGGCCGTCGTCCCCCGGCGAAAATGCCCTGGTCGCCGCCTCTCTGCAATGGTCTCGGCAGGCTGTGGCTGCGACTGTGATTGCGATATTTCGGGGACCGAAGGCATGAGAGTTATCCCTCCTCTTGCCGCGTCTTCCCCAATCTCCAACAAGGAACGACGCCGCCCACCATTTGGCTGCTTGCCACCGTTTTTACCATTATTATTCTCATGCGAAGGGAGTCTGCTTAACCGGATGGCGGATTGTTGCCGGTCTCCTATGCGGTGAGGAGGTGGAGTATTATTCACCGATCGCTGTCGTGGGTCGCTGGTTGAATTACTGGTCGATTGCGATTGAGATGGTGAGGGTTCAGTGGTGTTGGAATACATGGCGCAAAGAAATCAATGCCGTGACAGATAAAACAGATAAAACTGTCGTCTGTGGGATGCAACCCTACCGCAAGCTTGGTATATGTAAATCGCATCTTGGCCATGTTCATCAAGCTGGACAAGCTTTTATGGTCCATCAATTGGCATGGTTGGCCGGGTTGGGCGTGGGCGTTATCCAATGCAAGTTGAAAACAACTTCCAAGGCTGAGGAGAGTTATGACGTTCTTTGCACAGCACGTCGTCGCACAATCACCGTATCTGGTCTAGCCGGCATGGGTCTTGGCGCGGCGACAGGGTTGACAGTGAGACGATCCAACACCGATGACACTGGTGTTGGCAAGCAATCCGTCATCTACCCTCTGGTATCCCCCATATTGAATTCTTCCTCTACACAGTACTTGAGAGCTTCTCGTCAACCCTACTGTTTGTTGCCCTTATCATCCGGTAGCATAAATGTTATCGGCAGTCCTCCGTGATCTATGTAATTTTTACTCTTTGTGAATCCTTATATAGGAGGCTTGATTGCAGCTATAGTATGGTTTCTAAGTACCTAAATAGGGTTGTGTATAACCAGAGTATATCTCAGGCTAGTGCTGCTTAAGTAGTATACCATTCTTGGCCGAGCAGAACCCCACATCCTGCTTACTTCTTGCCATTGCAGTGAACGAGTGGCTGATTGTCTGATTGTCTATAGTCCCGATACTTTTCAAATTTATATTAAATCTTCTTCAGTGCCATTGACATCACCGTGCTAAGGAAAAGGTACTTGGATCCCGAGGTGCAGCCCTTTGACGGTATCTCAAACAGCCGCCAGGCCAGAATTTCATATAAAATTCCCATGCTGTTGTTCAACCAGTGCTTGGTAAAACACCATGTTGCTGTTGTCAGGTGAATCGTAGTCAGCACAGAGAATTAACCATGTCATCAATCCAATGAGGAAGGTGCTTAGGGAATCCCCATATTTTATGTAATCATCAACTTTCGTCACTTCTCCCTCTTCCATCTTCGTAACATATCAGAGCTTAGTGCTCTTATAACGTTTCTGCTTTGCCCGATTGTTCAAGATGCACGACGCTGTTACATATCTACACGACCAATCTCCGCCATTTCGGCTTCCCAACACACTCAAGCCTTCACATTACGACATCTGCATCGATCCGGACCTGCCTGGAAAAAGATTCAGCGGCCGAGTGACCCTTCATCTCGAGGCTTTTAAATCGACTAATGTCATCGCCTTCCATACGCTCAGGTTGGATGTAACACATATTTCAGTCGAGCGTGGCCCTGGCGGCACAGAGTATCCGCGAATCGAGTATGTGACGGAACACGAGGTCGCCTACGCGCGGTTGCAGGAACAGCTTTCGGCAGGATCGAAATTCATCGTGATGATGGATTACCTGGGAGAGATGACGGGTGCCGGTTCAATGGGCGGCCTCCTTCCTTCTCCATACCAAATGCCCACTGGCGAGGTCAAGCTGGGCTTTGAGACAATGATGGAGCCGACCATGGTACGAGCGGTGTTTCCGTGTCTAGACGAACCCGAAATCAAGGCTACATTTACGGTTTCCCTCTTTGTGGATGCAGATTTGACTTGTATCAGTAATATGGACGCTGTGTCTGAAAATCTGACCGTGACACTTTCGGGACAGACGAAGAAGAAGGTCGTTTTCGGCAAAACACCTCGCATGTCGACCTACCTCGTTGTATTCGTAGCGGGATACTTCAACGTTCTCGAGAGCAACGATTTCCATGTACCGATCCGGGTCTGGGCAGCAATAGACAAGGATATCAGGGGCTCTGCTCTCGCGCTGAAAGTGGCAGTGAAGGCGTTGAAAGCCCACGAGAGAAACTTTGGCGTCAAGTACCCTCTGCCCAAACTCGACATGGTAGCTGTGCCCGGTCATGTCGGTGGTATGGAACACTGGGGCTGTGTCACCTACCAGGAGAACGGCATCATCCTGAGCGACAAACCATCTGCAGCTGACAAGTTGCGACTGGCCAGTCTGATCACCCGTATGCTTGACCAGAGTCCTTTATTATTTTCCCAACCTGTCTCATCTACGAGGATATAATCAGTCCTCGTTGGGCTCTTGTTTGGTCAAATAGTCAGACGTTTGCATCCACGCCCCGTTCCGTTCGGCACGTTCAATAAGGCCATTACTGACTGCTTATTTGTGAAAGATGAACTTGACCATCAGTGGTTTGGCAACATTGTTACCATGGAATGGTGGGACTCTATATGGTTGAACGAGAGCTTTTCGGACTGGGCCACAGTCCACGCACTCAAACAGATGTTTCCCGAGTTCGATTCTTGGGCCAATTTTCTGGCTAGCGACCCTTCGGAGACTACGAGAGGTGGCTATCAGGAAGCTTTGAGGCTCGACTCAAACAGGAGCACTCATGCCATACTGGACCCCAATCTCCCACCGAGCGCAGCCTTTGATACCATCGCCACAAACTTGACCACGTACAAGCTCAACACCGACCAAGTTGGATTCTACCGTATCTCATATAACCTTTCCCGCATACATAAGCTCGGTACACAATTTTCCGGCAATCTCCTCTCCATCAAGGATAAGGTAGGTATCATTTCTGACCTGGCAGCCGTTGTGGGCACAGGCAGAGCGAACCGACAAATACGTCTCTCAGACTTTCTGGACTTCCTACAGGCTATCAAAGATCAGGAGACAGACCTATTTGTTTGGCGTGAGATCCTGGCCCAGCTGGAAAACATCCGTGCCGCATTTTTGTTTGATGAAGGTGGGACAGCCGAGATCTTGCGGCGTGTGAGACTAGAGCTACTCAGCCATTTCGCCAAGAAACAATATCTAGATTTCCAGCAAATATTCTTCAAAACGCTGTTGTTCAGTCAGCTCAAGGATCACCCACTAACTCAGAAGATCGCCCTAGAAGCTTGGAACAAACTGATCAATGGTGACAAGGATGCTCTCAACCCCAACATCAGGAAACACATTTTCGATACCGTGCTCCAACTGGATGGCTCACATGTAAGTACTAATCACCTGACAGGCACCACACTTATCAGCTCAACTATGATCTCACCAGGAAACGTGGAACAAAATAAGGTATATCGCTTACAACAAGACATATATTCGTAAAACCGATCCAGCTACGCCTCTGGACGCCCTAGAGGCCCTGGGCAGCTCGCCTAACCCCGGACTTGTCGCTCGTGCGCTGGACATTATCACACCACCATCCTGCCCTTCCAGCCTTTCTAATCCAACAGCCCCTATATTTAGCAATAGGGTAGCCATGTCAAGTATTCTGCGCTCCTTGGGAAAACATCGAACAGGTGCGAAGGCATCTTGGGACTGGTTGCGGGGGGGATGGCACCTGTTGCGACGCGAGGGCAGTAAAGGCTCCATAAACAGCAATGCTTACATTGGTGCGGCACTGGGGGGTCTCTGTACAGCCAACCATCTGGCGGAGATAGAGCAATTCTTTGCTGACAAGGTTGATCATGTGAGCAGCCTCTTTCTATGGAAACTGGCCCCTGTGCTAGATGTTAACAGGTGCTAGTCATTCCAGCTCGAGCTTGCGCAGGCCATTGATGTCATTCGGGTACGATTTCAGTTCTCTAATGCGGACCATGGTGATCTGCTGGCATGGGCAAAGAAACGAGGCTATACTCCACAAATGTGATGGTGCTCGAGCACAAACTTCAACATGTACATAACTAGTAACTAGCAGCGTCCTGAGCAAGACTGTTAAGGTGCACTTATTTAAGATATGTCGAGAATAAATGCGCCTGCTCTCGACCTGACTTCACTGCGGTATCTGTCGAATATCACGTGTGTCCAATCGAGTAGTCAGCAGTGCGTAAGATTGTATATGAATGAGGTGTATTCTTCTCTGTGTTCTATTCTCGCGAACTCCCGTTGCTCTGCCCTTTATAGATTCTTTCGGAAATGTCGGAGGTGCATTGTTCAGGTGTCTGACCCCGAACTTCGGAGTTACTTTCGGGTGTCGGCTGGTGTAGTTGGTCACTTCGCTGGTAGATAAGTCCCGATTTGAGCCTCGCCCACTTGGGTCGGTGACGAGTCACGGGTTCGAATCTGTGAAGGTCAACCCTCGCAGACTCACTACAACCAGGTGACTTACAGCTGGAACACCTGCCGTGGCAGTGTCAGATGGGAAGCCAATCATAACCCTTGTAGGAGCCCCGCCAAGCGTGGATGACTTAGTCGCGCTCCCTCAAACCTAAGTTGTCATCTTCTTTCCTTCGCTCCTTAGAGTAGAATCTTCGTCGATAGCACCTAATCGAGGTCTCTACCAATGCGATGCAACCCAGGTCGTGACAGAATCCCGCAGCTGACACACAAGGGGGTTTAGTCAACCCTTACGGCGCGCTGCCCACCTTGTTGACTTCGCCTACCTAGCGATAATAGGGAGATTGGTGCAGTTTAGGATTACGAGCATCCTAGCCAGTCGACCGTCAAGCACTACGTCGGCGGAATATAACTCGACAGCCGGTCCAGAATTCGAATCGTTAATCCGACCCCTTATCGGACCTCGCCTATCCGATAACGCTCATCGGCGAACCCGTCCCCTCACGATAGAAGGCGCGCAGCACGCCCTCTCGCCGCGATTCTTGCGAGCGTCTAGACCACGTTACGGTCTATCCACTTGAGCGTATGGTTGAGATGTATACGCTCGACGAGAACCCCAATTAGCAGATACTACGACTTGTCGCGACAAAAAATAGTCGAGCATCTTCTGCACATCAGCAGCTGTCGAATATCACGTGTGTCCAATCGAGTAGTCAGCAGTGCGTAAGATTGTATATAAATGAGGTGTGTTCTTGTCTGTCTGTCTTCTTGTCAGGGTACGGCCTGGACCGAAGGCGATAGTACAGAGTGAAGGGGAGAAATAGGCGTGTCCCCCTGGTGGTCACCTGGTGTTCACTGGCGGTCTCAGGTAGGGGTGCCCACGGTGATGCATTCGATCTCTCCCCTCTCTATCTTCCTCCGTCTCGACTCCTTACTTATAGCCAGCCGAGGTTCTCTGTTGGATTCTGGATGTTTGCTTCCGCATGTCTGTGTTCCTCCGACTTCGGCCAACATCTTGGATAGCGGCTCTTTATCTGCAACCAAGCGATTCCCTATCCGCTGCAAACGGCTTCAACAGCTCTCATTCGCCACAAGCGGCTCTCTAGCCGCCACAAACGACTTCCTTCCTGGTGGAAGCCGGCCCGCCTCGGATGACACTTGTGGCTCTGACACTTCTGTTCTCGCGAACTCCCGTTGCTCTGCCTTTTATAGATGCTTTAGAACATGTCGGTAACTTTGGTGTTACTTTTGAGAAGAGGGGTTCCTTTCGCCTTCTGAACTTTAAGTGACAATAGTCTTCTCTAGTGCCATATTATTTCTGAACCTAGGAACCAGGTGCCCTATCTGACACGAAACCCACTAGCTGTGGACCCGTAGGAGCACTGGCCATCTGAAGGCGGGATTGAAGATCCTCGGCTGTGAGCCAGCCTGTTTTAGTTTCTCTTTCTTTCCTTGTCGAGAATCGTTAAGTCAATACAGTGCATTAGAGTGTTTTGACTCTTCAATTGTGCTCACCGTGACACTTATTTACTTCCTATAAAGTAGAATTGCCGGCGAGGCGGTAATATAGGGTTCTACGCGTATATAGGTAATTCTAGATAAATAGCGATATAAACTATTACTAACTATGCTAATAACGGTATCCCGTATACATAATTTAGCTAAGATACCTTAGTAGTAGGTAGGATTAAAGATGAAGAATAGGTGGGTAAGTTTTGTTATCAACTGGACGCGTGGCTATGTGGTTCTATAGAAAATAATAGTTTAGGTGCATAGGGTCGCTTCGCGGCGCGGAGTGGGCCATTAAGTAGGGTGGCCGCAGATGGTTGGTTGACTTATTAAATATACTTCGGGATTGCACTGTTGGAGTTCCTATTGGGTTGACGTCATCCCACGCCAAATTATGTTCAACCTTGCTATGGAAATGGAATATCATCCAGCATGTCGCAGTAACAGAAACTGGCAGTTTCCTATTTCTAGTATGTATCATTTACTGCAGGCGTCTATTTAGCTATTCTTATCGAAACTCCCAACCAACGGTTTGCAATAGAACATCCGACGCCAGGCGCCCATTCACATTGTCGTAGTGCAGCACATCAGATTCCCACACATGTCCCCGCATACCATCTGGCAAGCAGCAGCGCCCTCGGCTCGGCGTCTTCTACTCGACGAGACAACAGAGGACGCTGCGCCCATCGCAGTAGGTATTGCAGAGCCAGGGGGTGAAACGGCCAGCTCGGGCTGCAGAGTTGCCGAGTGAATACCATATGCGTGCAGACACTCCGTCACCGTCTTGGCACTTTCCATGAAGTCAGACATCTTGTCGTTGGAGACAACAACATGCGCTGAAGCGATTGACTTCTTCTGGTCTAAACGCCAGATATGCAACTCATGGACCGAATCGATACCAGGGATCTGTTTCTTGTCAGCCGACTATCATTATCTTCACTGTTGCGATGTCCCTTGATGTTGGACTACAGGGCTTACCTTCTCAAGATCGTGCTTGACATCATCCAAGTCCACGCCACGCGGCGCGCTCTGCATCAGGATCTTGCCGCTGTTCTTAACGAGAGGAAGGCATGACAATAGGATCATGATGGCGATGCCCATGCTGACCCCCGGATCAGCATAGAAACGGGCGTCGTAGCTCGTAAGCCAGATGACCAAGGCGGCGATGATGACACCGACGTTGTTCAGCGCGTCTCCGATTACGTGGATGAAAACGCCCATCATTCCGAGGTCGCGTCCGGGGGACTTCATGTTGGCAATGACGTGTCGGTGTTCGGCATGGGCGCTGATTGGCTGTAAGGGGGTGAGTGATGGCTCCAGAGAGACTCCAGAGGGACTGTCGTTCTGATGGGATGCCCAGGAGAGGACTTACAGTCATCGGGTGCTCATCAAGGCTGTCATTTCCAGCCATGCCGGTCTCAATGTCGACGGCACCGTAGCTATGGCTGCTCGAATGACTGTGCTCGTACTCTCCCCCGTGATCATGAGTATGGCCATGAGCATGTCCGTGCCCGTGGTCGTGTTCATGATGCTCGTGCAGTAGAGTGGCGCTAATGATGTTGAGGGTGAGACCGATGCATCCCATAATTAATACCAGCTTGGGATTTTCGACATCTAGACCCAGCTATTCAGCAACCCTGAATTGTTGAATTAACAGGACAGAATACCTACTCTTAAGAGAGATGAATCGTTCGATCGACTGTAGGAAAATGGATATACCAAGAGCCAGAAGGAAGGCACCATTGAAGAAGGCGCCAAGTAGCGACGCTCTTGCCCATCCAAAGGAAAAGTCCTGGGGTGACTCAGCTCGCTCGGATATCTACGTCAATTGTAAGTGGACAGACCAAGCAACATCCGAGGTTTAAAGCATACAATGATAGCTGTTAGAGCGACGATAAATCCGATGAGATCATTCATCTGTAGAGCGGTCAGTCCAATGGTATAATGTCAAGTTTATTTTATAAATCACCAACGTAATGAAAGGCGTCGGCAAGGAGTGCCAGAGATCCTGTCAAGAAGGCAACTACGACCAGAGCGTCAATGTCATTAGGATCACCAACATGGGGACTTTGTGCTCGACTCACCAGCAATTTCGGCGACGAAGAATGCGAATGAGATGGCGATGGTGCCAATAAGCTTCTGTTTGGAAGTGAATTTGAAGATGGCCATGACGGCGTTATTTACGCCGATGCGGGACCGGCTGTTCGGTAATTATCGTCCGAAATGGGAGTTGGATTCGGCGAAGGTTATTGCAAAGGAGATTTAAAGTTTAGAGGAGAGGGCGGAAAGCGGGTAGGGCTGAGCTGATAAAGGGGTTAAATGGATATTTTGCTTCTTCACCTGATAGATTATCGAGTCACGGAGTCGGGAGGACGACGACATTCGGTTTGAAAGGTGGCCCTTCGTCCTAATCACTGCCTGATCACGAAACGTAGATTGCTGCAGAGGGATGAATCGAGTTTCTAATTCCTAGTTCCGACGCAACGGCCAGGCAGATCTTTGTGCGACGGCAGAAACAGGAAGAAATGTGTATGCTTCGTCTCGTGGCCGCTGGTTCAGGCGAACGGCACTTATCAACCAGTACTGTCATATAAAACGATCTATGGAGTGATAACCAGGGTGTATGAGGGTTGGATGCATTCCTTTTAATCACTGCGACTGTTTAGCCCGTCATCATAATGATACTACCACCTACATCATTGACCGACTTAGCAACAATCTTATCTCTCTCAATCTTGCTCTCAGGCGCTGTAGTGATTGGCTACCCTGAGATGCCAGATTCGGCGCCCGGCCGCAGTATATGTCAAGATGTTTGACGAGCCGAAGCTAGGCACGTCGGATAACACCGCATCAAAGGACAAAAAGTACGGCTTCCGTACTGGCTCGCCCACTGGATCTTTTAACGCGACCTCATCCAGACAATTTAGACGAAACATTTGCCGATGCTACACCGTTTCCCAAACGTCACCAGACAACGGCCGCCGTACATTCGACGCCCTGTCGCAGCTTCTGCAGCAAACATTTCCAGGATAGGAAATGGCCAGCACAATGGAAGGGGGGTCGACGTGGAAATCTAGAAGCTCAACTGAAGTAAATATGTAAAGAATCGGGGAATCCAGAAAGTAGATGGTACTATTATGTCGCAAGATCTTCTAGTTGAAAGAAGTTGGATAAAGTAAAGCCTTTTTTTTATAATAATGAGCGTCGTGGAATCAAAGTCGGTCGCGTGCCGGTGGGCTGCGGCTACCCTAGAGCAGGTAAATCTCGCGAAGTAGATCAAATTCGCTATCCTTCCATTGGCCTCCCGTGTTCTCGATTGGAGCATGATCGTGGCACGTTCATCACCAGGAATTCAGCATCGATCTCACTGTAACTGCGGATTTACCCGAAGATCATGGGCTACATTTATATCTTTCAATTACATATCTGCAGCGCCAGCCATTAAGACCCAGCGCAAGAGTCAGCGCGTCATTGAAAGAAGCATGACAGCACTATCAACAATGCCAGTGATGATGAATTATTGGGCATTTTCATTGGCCTTTCTGGAAGGTAACTACTTCTAATATTTGCGTGTTCGACAGGCTCCCAGCGGGTCAAGGCTTCCGCTGGTTTCTACGTGCAGGAATAATGCGTCTGATTACGTGCCTCTGGACTTTGAAGTGAAACCCCAACTCATTCCAATTCAACAACTATTCCGCCCCCACACCCCCCTCCACCCACAAATAACACAAGCTTGCAATTTCAAGAATTTACGAAATCACCACCTTGCACTGTCATCCCATTCCTGAACAGTAGCAAACATCTAAAACCATGGAGACCATCAAGGACAGGTTCAGGACACGACCGGAGAGAACCTTTGTGGCAAGGTGCTGGATCTGAGCACTCAATAATTCAAACTTGATGACATCCTTGTCCTATCCAGCTAGGTCGCCATCGTGATGGGTGAAGACCAACGCATCGGCTACGGTTGCACCTGAATGCGGCTCAAGCACAACGTCGCCGAGGTTTATATCCTTCCCGTGGACGAAGAGGTCGTCAAAGTTGCCCAAGAAGTCATTGCCAAAGAGATCGGTTATGAGGCCGCCGACGAGACGAGATGGATGTAATGCGACATGACGGACTGGAAGCGAGTCCAGAAGTGAGCAGAGGAAATTAAGGACACGGACAGACTCGATATCCTCACCAACAACATGGCAAGAGGCATCATGACGTATCAATTGACCGACTATGGAGTGGACAGGCATAAGGCTGTGAATCACATAGGCCACGTATTACTGACGTGGCATTTGCTACCACTGATGAGGATGACAACAGAGCAGGGCGATGCTGTTCGAATTAGCAAACAAACTAGCAGCGCTCCCCAAGAAAACCTGAGTGACACCAAGTCGAAAGTCTTGAGGAGCTCAACCGAGATTTCGGGCCAACTGGCTAGTACGGCCGAAGCAAGCTGGCCGGCATCTTGTACGCGCGGTATTTCAACAAGAAGGTGATTCAGGCCGGTCGCCGCAACGTTCTCGTGGATATAATCCATCCTGGCTTCCTTAGCACGAACATGATCAAGTAATAATTATTTCGATACCGCCCCTTTGCAATGGCGGCTGGTATGGAGCCTTTCAAGAAGAAATGTGGTAGTTGTGTCCGTGATGTTTGCGTCAACTTGTACGGACACGTCGGGTCATTACATCTGTCCGTCTGCCGTTCATACCCGAGGAACCAGGCTGATTGTCACGCCGCGCCAGGGGTTGCAATCCTTGCCACTACGCCACCGTACCAGATGTCTTCACCAAAAGAGACCAATACCAAAGTCCCTGACTTTGGTATCTGCAACCACTTATCAATCTGTTCAGACCAGTGTGTGTCAATCACGTGACAACCGTCACATTACCCCCCCGTTCTGACAAGTCTCGTCCGCGAGACTTTGCTCTAGAGACCTTGCCTCCAGCCAAGGGTAATTCTGGATAAGTAGATCCCTGAAAAGCCTCAGTCGACTCGCCGGCATAAAGCACCATCTAGCCTCGGCCTACCATGGACAGACCTCCGGCCAGGTAGAGATTATGAACGAATACATCGACCAGCGCCTAAGGCCATACGTGAACAGGTACCAGGACAATTGGGCTCGTATGTTACCTGCGCTAGACCTGGCCCAGGCGACAATGCCACATGAATCGACGGGACTCTCCCCTTTCCGATTAGAATTAGGATACGAACCAAGAATGCATTTTGACGTTACAGCTAGGCTTGATCAGGACAAGATGAAGCCTAGGGATCGCCTTACACGTGACGAAGCCGCCGCAGTAGCCGGACGGATGTATAAGGGTTGGGAATTCGCAAGACGACTGATGGCTAAAGCCCAAGAACGTCAGGCCGGACAAGCGAATAAGAAAAGGCGTGAGCCTGATTGGGGCGTCGGCGACCGAGTCTGGGTATCAAAGAAGGGTTGGAACACTGATCGACCATCGGATAAACTGGACTTTCCGAATGACGGCCCTTTCGAAGTCGAAGGTCGAATCGGGCACTCATACAAGTTGAAGCTGCCTAACCGACTTAAGATCCATAACCAATTCTCGGCCGACCGCCTGCGGAAGGATCCGGACAACCCAGTCCCGGGCCAGCGACGGAAACCACCACTACCGGTAGTAGTTAAGGGCGAACGCGAATGGTACGTATCGAAGATCATTTCGTCACGACTCTATCGAGGCAAACTACAGTACATAGTGGATTGGCTAGGCGCCGATCCGGACGATACATGGTACAACGCAAGAGGATTTAAGAACGCCGCGTCTAAGCTCCGCGAATTCCATACGGAGTACCTTGAGAACGCTGGACCACCGGCACGGCTAGCATATTGGCTGAAGGCCTCTGAAGCGGGCTACGATGACCCTGATCACCCCGAGGATGACAAGCCGCTCCAGAAGGGAACTAACCGACAACGTCGGCGTAGATCGAAGAAGTGAGGATACGGTTGAGATTCGAGGGCCGCGAGCGTCCCTCTTCCGAAGGGGGGGGGTAATGTGACGCCGGTCACGATGCTTGGCCCCTAGGCCCCTGGACGAACAGGGACACCCTAGTATAGGTGTCCCACCTGTACGCACTGCCCTTTTCCTTATAATGTAGGAAAAGGCACTTGCACTTAGATCTCTTTCTCTCTCTTCTTCAGTTTAGTATTCGTCAACAGAGATAGACTGATGTCGCAACCCTGATTCGAACTTGCAGTGCCTCTACCGTGTCACACTGATGGAGTTGGCCAGGAAGTTGATCATGGAACAGACGCCGCGGGAATCGGAGAATGAACGGCGGTGTCCTTCCGACAACATCGTCCTCCACTACCTCCACTAGATCTACAATAATAATAATAATATTAAATACGCCGTAGGTGTTAACCCTCGGTACCTCTACAAGTACTCCCTTAAGGGGCTATAGATTGTTACGAATCTACGATTTTAACTAACGCAACAGGCCCGATGGCAGGCCCAGTGGATACAGGACAAAGAAGGAGGGGAAAGTCACACAGGAGTGGCTAGCTGCAGGAGGAGCCAGCTAGTGCAAGGATCACAAGCCACGTGACTTACAAGGGTGGGTCATTTGGATATGAAATGATCCAACATATCCAGTTAGAACCAAGCCCCGATTCGAGGTTAAGGCGTATGGCGAGCCTAACCCCAGATACTGCAGAATATATAGATCCTCTGCAAATACCGCCCTGGGAGCAGGCTGGCGAATGGTCCATCACCCTCGCCAAGATCGGTTATATCCCAGGACAGTCAAAGGAGGAGGCTGCCCGCTCGTTTCTACAAAGGATAAACGAGTTTTCAAAGCGCGATATAATAATCTATACAGACGGCTCGCTGGCTACCCATAGCGACAGGACCTTAGCTGGAGCAGGCTGGGCTGGTTATCAGGCCGGTAAAAGACTACTCTGCGAGTCCGAACTACTGGGCTCTCAGATAGAGGTATACGATGCGGAAGCCCACGCAGCACTACGGGGGCTTCAGGAGGCTGTAAAGCTTCCGTCCAACAGCATGGCAGATAACGTCCACATCTGCCTCGATAATCTCGCGATTGCGGGTAGGCTCATCTGTCCAAGTCCCGGAAGCAGTCAAGCAAAGTTCACCGCCTTCCAAGAGCTGTCCAAAACCTGGTCACAGAGAGAGCGAAAACCCTGGACATCCCCGGGACAAGTGTATATCTGGTGGTGCCCAGGACACGTAGGCATCCCCGGAAACGAAGAAGCAGATGTCCAGG